AGCCCAAATAAATGAAGTCTGTTACTGCTTCCATTTCTACCCCTTCTATTTGCCAGGAATTCTGTAACTCTATTGCACAGAAAATATGTCTGTTTTTCTTAGCACAGCAGTCATTTTCAGTTTAGATCCTTGCCCTTTGGAATGGCTTCAACACCAAGAACATTTACAAAAATTGTGATCATTTGGGATAGTCAAAATGTCTCCAGGAGAGAGAGAAACACTTCTAGATCCTCTCCCATACAAGTTCAGACAGACATAATCAAGACTGTCAGTGTTTAAGTATACAGGTTTCTCATCAACACCAAGAAAAAAAAAAAAACCCCTGACAGAAAGCATTTGTTTAGAGCCCTGCCTAGACACTCAGAAAGAACTTTTTTTTTTTAATTACCCAGAAACAGTTCTAAAGATTTAGAAGGCTGCCTGTTGAAAAATAATTGGAAACAGCTCATGCATCTTACTTGGATTCTGGGATGGTGCTATCCTTATTTCAGCTTTGTTCCATGCTCCAGTGGCTTCTAATTCATTTTCAAACTGATATAGATAACGAAAAATGCATTCCAGTCCTGCATGCCACAAAAGTCAAAATTTCATTTGCCTGGTGGTGCTAGAAATGAACATGTACATTTTTCACTAAGATGAGATAAAAGTTAATACAAAAAAATAGTGTTGCTCCTCTTTTGGGCAGAATAGCAAAGTTCATTCCTTATTGCCTCATTAGAACATGGGACTTTACATATAGAACCTCGTTTTCTCTGCAGAAACACACTGGATCCAGAGGAATGAAGTTTGAATCTGGTCATGTTGGAATTTCAGAAATCAAGTTTGCATCTTTTTAAAAAAGTGGACTTTCTCATCTTGTTTGCAGTTTGTAACAGCAGAGTCTGTGGATAGCTTTAGCTTAAGAGGCCCTTTTATGTCCTTCCTGTGTTCCCACTGCTTGCCAGGGCCCTAAGGAAAATCAGGTCTGAGGCAGCCATAGTGTTCCTAGTTATATTATATTGGCCATGCTGTCCACAACTGTCGAAGACTCTCAACTCTCTTAGCTGTAGGTCTTTCCACCTACTGCAGCAGGATCTGATTCTTCATTCTAATTCCTAATGGATGCAATTAGATACTTGACTACTAAATGAGCATCATAGATAGCCTTAGTCCACACTGGTTCAATACAGAACTATTATTTTGTCCAGAAAGGACTATATTTAAATAATTTATGAGATCATTATCATTATTTGTTGGTACAGTAGGAAAGAGGTGCAAGTCAATTTGTATTCAACAGGTACTTTCTTCTTTACCACATTGAATACTTCATAACCAATTCAGTTTTGAAGTATTCATAATTGAATACTTGCACAGACAAATTTTGTCAGTATAATTAGCCCTTATCTCACCAGTTAGGGTTTTATTGGATTTCATCCTACCAACAAATGATTCCTAGAACAGCAGTCTTTTTAGCCCACTTGTAGAATTTCAGTTTCAGTTGAAAAGCCTACATATTGTCCCTGAGGCTGCAGCTGCTAGGCCATTTGAATATCTGGAATCTGTTTTCTCAAGCTGCTGTTCCTGAAGAACTTGTTCCTTATAGTCATCACAGTAAAAAGGATTTCAGAGTTGGTAGCTATCAGTCACCAAGATCCCTGTACTTCTTTCCAAGACTTGACCATTGTGAGAATGGATTCTTCCTTTGTTCCTAATGTCAATATGACTTTTGCAGGTCTCAGGAATATATTTTCCTTTTCTTCTATCCTGATATCTCTTAACCCTCAAAATTTAGATGCCCCTGGAGCATTAACATTTCTTATAAGACTTAATATTTCACTTTAATTTTTTTTCTTTTGGTGAGCTTTCCATATTTCCTGTGTGTTTAGCCCACTCCACCTACCTAGGAATGCAAGTTTCCAATACCACCCTGGCCAGACAACTGAGAGGTTACATTTACACTATATGGTCTTTTATAGCCAGAAACTACCTGAAATCTCACATGTCACTACACATCACAGCAGCATTCTCCATTAATGACCCTTTTTAGAGTGAAAATCCTAAAACCCTTCCATGTTCACCAGCTATAACAAGCAGGATCTTTATGCTTCTGCAGAAACAGCCTTTGAATATATAGTTTTACAACAGATCTTATCTGTTTCACAAGGCTCAGTTAGTTGTTCCCACCTAAGTTATATATACCCCATGCTTGAATGTTCCCAAGCATCACATAGGAATGAAAAATTGGTCACCTACCATGAATGTTCCTTTGATGCAAAGAAGGTATTTAAGGCCACATCTTCCTTAAGGCTGGGTTACAGTGTTTCTTTTATTTAAGCTATATTTGGAGGGGTTCCTTCTGGTTCCTTTTCAGCTTAGACATGAATAAAAACTGAAGGAAGGAGTCTAAGAGAACTAGTATAACAACTTAATCCTATAATTTTGCTGCTTTTGTAGCCGTTGAAGAGGCCTCTTTTGCATCAAACCAGAAGAAACTTTCTTATGACATAACCAGTGTTCTGTTCTCCTCTTGATATGTGAGGCATAAAAGGCTGAATTAAGTATTATGTTTGCTTGGAAGATAGGAATCAAGTATCAGCAGGGTTTCTACTATTCTTTACAGTTCGTTTGCTTAGAGCAGGAGCTGGCTTGTTATTCTCTACTTCAGTTTATCTCAAGCATTCCTGTTTACTTTTATAGCCTCTTAATTATTTATCTCCCTTTTTGTTTCTCACCCTATTAAAGTACCTTAAAAATCTATTTGTTTCGCTCCACTGCTTTTATTGTCTGCACTCATTAGTCTGTCCTTTCTTCACTTCCGGACATTTTTTTTTTCTGTGCTGGTACAGCTGGCTGCCAGAAGCAAATTAGAAGGCTATAAATCTGCCGAGGGTCAGAGATAAGTAAGCTCAGGCTCTATTGCAGCTAGCTGAAATGAAGCAACCTTTGAAAAAGTCCTTTTGCTGTACGTTTGAGGATAGACCATACTCATACTCCGACAGGCAAGCAAGGATTAAGACCGGTAAACTCTCAGGCAACAAATCCAACGAAAGCAAGAAATAAAGTCAGAAATAAAAATAAATGGCAACGAGCTGAGTTTTTGATAGGTTGTTGTCAAAAGAGATTAAGCACAACAAACGAGCCCCACTGAACCTCCAGCGCACTCATCAAACAGTGGCTGCAAAGTCTGTTCTCCTGTTAGCACTCACACGCCTTTTGACTAGCCTCTCAGATCTGCAAACTTCAGCTCTCTGATTCTGGATCTTCATTAAACACCTCTTCCTAGGACTAACTGGTTGATCCTCTGTGTCTCAATTACTATCAGCAGGGGTCCTATGAACTTGCCAGGTCTGTCAAAGTGAGAGTGGAATCACAGGCTCCAGTGCTGCTGGATTACTGTCACTAGATGCTTCTGGCTGCACTTCTTCCCCATCTTATTTATCTGAAGACATGTCTCCTAGCAGGGCCATACCAATCTTGCCTCAGTTAAAGCTGAGAGGGGAAAAAGGCACATTAGAATTTATAAAAAAAGTCAGCAGTGACTTTTCCAGTAAGAAGGGATGCTTCCTCTGAGAGTCAGTTTGCTGTTTGGTTTGGTTAAGATTGCCAAACTCTGGACATTTTTGTAGCACATTCTGCTCAGTCTGGCTTTTACTATGATTGAGAATTTAGCTTCTGTTCTTCATTGTAGAATGTCAAGGCTTGCCTTCCACTACCATGTATCCTTTTTTGGAAGCCCAAACATCAAGATGCTGCAGACATAGTACTTTTTCTACCTCTGATTCTGAGAAGAACTATTTTCCTGGCCATCAAACCCTCCTTGAATAAAACTAGAATCCATAACAACATTTTTATCCAACAAGTCTTGTTTGCTGCTCTTCCCCTCTCTTTACATCCAGACATAGCAGTCAGTGACACTGTATTTCCATCCTAGGAATGTATTAATTAATGGGAGGAAGACTTCCATTATTTTTACCTATCTAGGAAGCCTGAAGCTCAGATCGATGGACCATTTTAGCTCTGAGGGATGTTTTCTAAAGATAATTGACAGAAGGAGAAATAGCAAACAAAAAATATCAAAATGTTTGGCATGTTTAGATTAAATTTATTTAGTCTGGATGTCTTTGATACATAATATATTCCTTTGGGAAAAACGTCATATTTTATTTTTTATCAGGTGGTTGGAAATACACAAACTAGAGAAAATGCAGATCATTTATCAGTTTTTACAATAGGTAAGTTAATACATTTTTAAAGTCATATGTGCTTATATTGAGAGGATCCCAGTAATGAAATAATTAGTGAAGATTTTAAACAGTTGACATAAGGCTGTATGTATGAATGCATATTATCAATGTTAAAGACTATGTCTTTAAACCAATTATATACATGTTAGAAAGTATAAAGATTTCTAGTTGTCCATGTGATTAGATGATTCTGTGTACCTTGTTAGTTTTTTCACATACTTATTTCTATATTGCTTCTTACATTCTTTGGAACAATATTTGCAAAGCTGACTCTAAGTATGCAATTCTTTTAAAAATAAGTAATGAGATGCACTTCTTTTCTCCCTATCATAACAGGACTGAGTGAAAATCCACAGAAGCAAAGAAGCCAAATGGATGATTCTGAGAAGATGAAGTAAATATTCTTTTTGTATTATGTAGTGAGAGCAGATGTAGCAACACATGGCATATAGAACTTTATTTTATTTTAATGCTTTTATTGGACTAACTCATTTTTTTTAAAGAAAACAAGCTAGGAGTATGTAAGAGTTATTCAGATAAAGGGAATGAAAGTTCATATGTAGAAATGTCTAGATTAATATTAAATCAGTAAATTTGTTTATTACATAAAACTAACATTTGTTATGACAGATGAAAATGTGCGATGAAAACACAAATACATTACATTACAGAATCAATTACTGTGACATGTTTATATCCATAATTAACACAATACACCCCAATGTACTCATACATCTAAGGGCTTTTCCTTAACTAGTGAAAATAATGTCTGGCTTCTCCCCAGTCTATTTGAAGTAAGCAAGTGGGAATGAGTTCCATAGAAGAACTAAATGCAATTTTAGAATGTTCTTAAGACCTTACTTCATTGCTAGAACTAATTGACTGATCCACGGTTCTTTCTTACTTCACATTGTAAAGTAAATTAATTTATTATTAGACTTTCCCAGTGATTATACATGGTCTGTTAAGAAATTTTTTTTGCTATATTTTAGCTGTAGATTATGGAATTAAATATTCCATCTTTCATATATCATTAACATATATCCAAAATTCCCTGTTTGATATCCATATGCTTTAATTTTATGAAATGTATTTCAGCATCTCTCCTCATGAACATCACTTCTCCTATCTCTTTTGATTTCTGAGGAAAAGAATCTAGGAAAAGAAATTTTTCTATAATCAATTTTAAGTTGTTAGAAATCATATGTTCTAGCACATCTCAATTCTTTGCAAAGTTGTTTGTATTTCATCCCTCTAATGCATACTTTACTATTTTACTTTTGTAAAAAGTTATTTCTTAGTAAACAGATGTTACTCATTTAACATTTTATGTCAAAACATCTTAGCAGTTTTGCTATTATTTTCAACCTCATATTCTTACAAATGTGTTGAACCATAATTCCTTCTGATTGGCCAGACTCTCTTTCATTACAGGAGTTATAGTCCAAAATATCATGCTTATTAGTTTCCTATAGATTTTAAAGTGAATGTGGAAGTCCAGAGCTCAAATGCTTCTTGTGCTAGATGTAGGTGAGAATAACTGTATATTTATGGCCTCCAACCTTGTTAGAAAATCAAAAATGCCATCATGGTCAAATGATCAAGAAAAATCAAGGTTTTATTCTCCTTATTCTTTTTTGTAAAATTAATCAGTAGACTAGCCAAGGCTTATACCAAGATTAAATGGTTTCAGTCACTCTATTCAGTCAACAGCTCTTGATTGAACTGAACTGACATCATCCTACTGAGCACCATATCCAAAAGGATATTTGCGTAATTGTCACTATATTCTTCTGGGTTCAGCAAGCGTTTCTTAAACAATGGCATTTTAAGTGGCATCTGAAGTTTGTTAATGATAATAGGTGATTATCATTAATAGTTTATTAATAATAATAGGTGATTGGCTGAACCTCTCCAAAGGTTCACATCCTCAGATTGTATCATCAGATTGGTCACATCCTCAGATTGTATCGGTTGAAACAGATTGTACAGTATAAGGCTAGATAGGTATTACTGTGGGCCCTTCTATAGGTGTAAAAAGGGAACATTGTAATTAACATAAATGTCACAAGAATTTCCAGTGCCCCAACTTCCTTCTTAGTTGAAAATCTAAAGTCAAAAGTACATTCTACAATATATATTAAACTGGAGATATACTAAGATAGCTTCATAAGTATTGTAGTAGTGAAGTCTCAAACATATAAAGTGGCACTGATATGGATATTGAAATCCCCAAGGGTAGCTTCAGGTTTTTCAACAGCATGCCCAATGCCTAAGATATTAATGTGAAAACTCTCGTGTATGTGTGTATATTCCCATCCTTCTGATGTGATGCATTATTAAGGAGTGATAATAATTAATAAGGGTGTGCAGCAGTCCAGATTTGGATAACATGCTGTGCCTGTAAGCAGTTCCTTAAAGAAGCTGCATCTTTTCCTAGGCTTGCCTCATGATCCTAAGAAAAGATGCATTTGATTTAAGGAGATGCTGACATGTACAATATGTGCACCTATACCTGCTCTACATTACCTTTTCTCCTTTGAATTCTGGATTATTGCAGAACCCTAAAAACTAATACCACCCCCACATATAAAATTAAAGTAACTTTGAAGACAAACAAGATAGATGAATTTCAAAAAGGTTATATAATAAGCATACTGGATAACATCAAGCGGTCAGAAAGTATGTTATCAAATCCCAAGAGAGAAATATACAATAGAAAAGTCTGTAAAAATATATTTTTCAGAGATTTAGAGAATGAAAATCAAGACCTTAACAAGGAATATAATTCTTAAATTGTTTTGATTGCAGAGAACAACTGAATTTGAAAACTGATTCTAAAAAAGTTGTAGATAAATACAACTTTCACTGTGGAAATATGCAACAGGTAACAGAATAACTAAATAATACATTATTTTTAAACTGTGGGAAATATGATAGAAAGCACATGAATTTACTAAATATGTAAAATTTGCTGGATAGATTTTGTGATTATTAAGTTGATGAAAGATATGCACAGCATTGTACAGCAGTCTTGACTGAATAATTAAACTATGAATGTTTGTATTGGGGAATTCTGTCACTCTTGATAATATAGTTTTCATTTGTCAGATTGAGTCCAGTATAGATTAGTGTGTTTCTCTGGAAGAGCCAGCGTTTAAAAATATTGCAAGCAAGCATTCTATTGAAAGAAGAGGGTTTCCTCTTTGAAAGTCAGGAAACATCTATCATGTCAGCCATGCTGCCAAGGGCTTTACTCACATCTATTTTATGTTCTAATAGCCTTCAGACTAGCCTGCAATAAAAACTTGAGATGGAAGAGAATCTAGTAGACCTGTAAGATATAAAGCAAGTTTGTCTTATTCAAACTTATTGAATCATTGATTGATTCAATTATTGGGAATTGATTCATGATAAAAAAAATAAACATTCAGGTTCTTTCAATGATTCTGTTATTATTCATGGAAAAAATGTAGCAGGTCTCTAAACTCAAGAATAATTCTATGTAGCTTTTATCTACACAAAGAATCTTGAAGGTTCTTTGTGCATGCCATATAGTAGGGATTAGGACTATTTTGTGTAATGTTGTAAATGCCAAAAACATAATAGTATAACATTAAAACAACAGAAACATCTTTGAAAACCTAAATTAAAAAAATAAATGAAAGAAATATCCTGGGGTCATGCATCAATGCACAAATTCAATCAGCTCATGAAATTTTGGTGATTTTTAATTTTTTTAATTTTGAAAGAAGGGTCATTGGAGCCATGTAGGTGTGTTGTGTTGTCTATGGCACTGGTAGTGCCACATTTAGGGTAGAGATGATCAATGCCTGATCCTCTTTATATTATTAGACTGTAGTTTTACATTCTTTCTTACTGTCCATGCGGTCTAGCTCTAATTCAGTTGAAATTCTGCTGGAGGGCTATTGCCTATCTCAGATATAGTTTTAAGTTTCCTAGAGGATTTTTCTTAATCAGCCTGCAAATAATTTTTTGATACAATAAAAACAACACTTAATCCTTGTTTTGGATTTTGTAGGTGGATATAATACTTTCACTAGAAATGTTGAAGACATATATGAAAAATGGATCAACATCTTTAATGGATCAATGCTTTCACAGTGCTGAACAATCATTTGCATTATCATTAAATATGCTAGATCCGTCCCAACTACAGGTAATAGAAAAGATGTTATAATCTGTTTATAATAATGTTAACTTCTTAATGAAAAAAACTTGTGCATATTTTCCCAGGATGCTAAAAAGCAGTACATTTATAAAGAAGCTCATCGCTTCTTATATTAAAGACACCAATGTCAGAAAATATAATTAGATATTGGTAAAAAAATGTTTCTGTCAATTAACAAATTATCTATAGGAAGAATATGCAAAACATTGTGAGTTGAAAATGTTCTAGATGGAGAAAGGCTTGGAACAAAATTTCTTTGCTTTAGACCTTTGCTGAAAATTTGGGTCAAAGCAGGTAATTTTACTCCAAAACTATGTGTTCCATCTGTCATGTTCCTTTAGGAGTCATTAGTATCTGTATATGATACCTCTCAAATGTTTATACTTCCTTCTTGATAGTTATTGGCAGTGAATGTATTTAGCAGAGTAGTTTGGACCTGCTTCTGTTGACCTTTTGTCAAACAAATGTAGACTTCAACTTAATGCATTTATGTGCTTTTATGAGTGTATGCTGTCTACAAATGAGACTGCATAAGAGCTGGTTCCTCCAGCTCTTAAAAGGCTTGGTCCATCCCTCCCTCAAGAAATCATACCTGGATCCAACTGCATTGGACAATTTTTGTCCCATTTACAGCCTTTCCTTTCTAGAGAAGATAGTTGAGAAGGTGGTCTACAGCACCACAGGGCCTAGAGGAAACATCATCTGTATCTTTTTCAGTTGGAATCCAGATTGGGGTATACTACAGCACCAAGATGGCATTGACCAGACTTATAGATCACTCTGGTGGGATTGGGATGGGGGTAGTGCATGTATCTTGTCTCTCAGCACTTTTTGTTACCATTGATCATGGTATCGTTTTGGACTGGCTTTAAGGGTTAGGAGTGGGAGATACAGTGTTGCTGTAATTCTCTTTCCTTTGTAGCAGATTTCAGTTAACATTGGTATAGGGGAGAGATCTATACCCCTGCTTTGTGGGGTCCGTCAGGCTCTCTCCACTCCTATTTAGCATCTAAATGGAGCTTTTGGGTGAGGGTATCCATCAGTTCAGGGTCAATAATCAGTATATTGACAATAGTCAATTATAATCTGGGCCAACCAAATGATGCATAATTTCCCAATGTTTGGAGACTGAGTGACTGCAGGTTTTGGGTTGCCCCAGTTGTAAAGACCTTCCATATTTAGTTCTGGATGGAGCTGCACTGCTGAGGCAAAACTTAGGTGCAGTTGGGGGTCCTCTTGGATTTTTAGCTCCTGCTGGAAGAGCAGGTGGCAGCCATCGCCAAGAGGGCCTTTGCAGAAATCCATCTTGTGCACCAATTGCACCCATTCCTGGATGGGGAGTTCCTACTCACAGTCACTTGTGCCTTGGTCACTTCTCATTTGGACTATTGCAACATGCTGTGTATCAGGCTGCCCTTTATGACCATCCAGAAGCTACAACTGGTCTAGAATGCAGCAGCATGGATAGTTATGGGTACACTGATTTACACTCAAGTAACATCATTACTTTATGAGCTGCACTATTGATTTGTGGGTGCAATTCAAAGTGCTGATTATCACCTATAAAGCTCTTCATGGTACAGGGCCAGGTTATATGAGGGATTCCAATCCTTTTGACCTTCCATAAGGCCTTAAAACCTGGTTCCCCCCCCCCCAAACTTTGGACCAGAGTGCTGAATCAGCCTGTCTTGTAGCTGTTTGGGGATTGGAGTGTGTGTGTGACTTGGCCTGAATTGTGATCTCTCTCTGTGTTCTTTGTTCTTTTATTTATATATTTTTACTGTCATGTTAGCTTCCCATACTATTTATGAGTTGGGAGGACATAATAAATTGCCAAATGCAAAATATAAGCACCGTTCATACACATTAGGAAAAAGTACCAATAGAAGATAATATGCGTAATTCAGGGTTGAACTGTGGAGTCCTTGGGGTTCTCTGAGCTTGGTTGTTTTCTTGCAAACATTTCGTTACCCGGCTAGGTAACATCTTCAGTGACATTAGGCAAAAGTGTCAAGCCAATAACTAGTGAAGTATATTTTTAAGTATTATTATATATTATTATATTGAAGTTAACCTTTTGCTGTTTTGTCTTTGGCTCATTTCTCTTGAGTTAGTGCAGGCAGGTTGCAAAAAAGTGTTTTTTACTCTTGCTTCCATTGTTGCTGTGAGAATTTTTAAAAGGGTTTTAAAAATATTAGCTAGTTGTTTTGTATGTTAAGTAGTAGATAGTATTCAGCAGTATTACCCTATTTTTATGTTCCTAGACCAAAAATTGTGGGAGCAAATAGCTAATTTTTAATTGATCTTTACTGTCAGTACTACATATCATCATTTGGCTTTAAATCACATCTCCAGTCACTTAACGCTAAATTTACTTCTTGGCTAGATTTGATATCAATCTCCCTATCATGACTAAGCTAGATTAGAAACTTTGTGTAGACATGAATGAAGCCACAAACATAGCAGTTGAGTGCCCACTGTGGTACAAAAAAGTCAGAGACTTTATACAGTATAGTATAGCTTTTAACTGTGGCCCCCTGATCTTCCAAATTAATGGATATTTGGCAAGTCTCTTGATGGATTTGGAAGACAGTTTTGTTTATGTAATGGTTCTCTATAGCCTGGGAGCCACTCGTTCTTGTCTCAGCAGCCTCAATCCTTTCCCATATGATGGAAGACTTGAAACATTACAAATTCTGTTTCTTTGGAAGACAACTAATTTCATGCACACTCATATTCTTCCAGGATCTGAGTATTTCCTATGGGTAGAGTGAAACCCTTTTAGTGATTTTTAGCATTAAATTAAGACAAAATAATCTTGGAAAGATTAAGTTTTCAGAAAGTCTAGATACTTTTAAAGAAATGAGGTAGTAGGACACAAGGTAATTAATATCTTAATAAAATACCTGGCCATAGCTGGAAATCACATACTGATAAACCAACATGAACTGAATGAGAATAATCATCTTGGTGAATAACTTATACTCAGGATTTGGATAGGAAGATTGCAGTCCTGTTAGATCTGAACCTTTCAGCAGCTTTCAGTATTATAAGCCATGATACCTTTCAAGATACCCATCTGAAATGGATTAGCTGATATCAGATGGGTTAATTGCTAATTCAAGGTATTCTAAAAGCTTGGTTGTTTATATGGCCTTTTAACTAATTCATTACATTTGCCCCATATTTTTATAATGGCCTAGTTTATATCTCATTCTAAGCTATAGGGGGAAAGGAAGAGAGAGAGAGAGAGAGAGATGTGGCAAAAGCCAAAGAACTGTTTTATACTTCAGCATTATGTGTGATCAAACCTGTATATCTGCCACAACATGTAACAACAAACAAACATTTGCACATCTTCTAGTCAGTTGTTTTTTTTAAATATTCCAGCTTCTGAACCTTGCTCTTGTTGATTATGTTGTGATCATGTACGGATATGCCAGTGCTCTCCTTGGAATAGGACAGCCTGAGGTAAGACTTCAAGCTATCTCAAGTTTTTTACAACCTACTAACATAGGAAAGTAGGGATTTAAGATGCTTTAAACAGGGATGA